TTACCATTCATTCATTATTGCATTTTTCTCCCTGCCCACCCCGCCCCACAATTCACTCTTCTCTTTGAAAAGTAAAAGAAAAATTCTTTCATTGTTATACAATCCCTCCCTCCATTAATAACATTTTAGCCATTTGGGTCACAGTGGAATTGAAATAGACACTTTGAGATGGGTAAAAGAGAAGGCAATATAGTGAATGATCAGACATTGTGGGCACTGTAAATAATGCTATAAAACAAAATGTGTATGAATGATTGAAAATCCAATATACTTCATAATTGTTCGCTTCAACCCCAAGATTTTTAATTTTTTTTATAAAGAAAGCCTTTGAAGGATTGGTCCCAGTTGTGGTCAGATCTTTATAAATAGTGTGGGGACAGGAATACGAAGTGCAACCAGGGTGCTCCCTAGAGGTAAGCATGGTGAAAGTTCAGCTGGCTTGCTTTGGATATGTTATCAGGAGGCGTGTTGGTGGGAAAGGTGGAGAGAGAGTCAGCAAAAGAAAGACCCTCAGCAAGATGGATTGAACACATGACCAAAGGCAGACCAAATACATACAGACCTCTCAGCTTATACATGATGTCCTTATGTAAGAAGTTCCTCTTTGGGAACACTTTGATGAGCCAAGAATTGTAGCAATGAGCAGAGAACACCTCTTAGAAAGCATGCCCATGGACACTAAGTGGACAGTCTGTAATGTGATAACTGAGCTGACCCAGGTGGTTCCATCCTGGATCAGGGATATTCCCAGGAGGCGTGGAAGGCTAAAGGTCTCCCCGTGCTCCTGCTCCATCATGTGGCATGGTGATACTATTCTCCACGAAGCACCTGCAGGCCTCTTCTGTCTCAGACGTTGCTTCTAAGGGACTCCGCAACCTGCGACTCAGCAAAGGAGCCTCTTCCTTGGGCAAAGGACTGAGCACAGGAGGGCTAGCTCCTTGTGTAAGCCATAGGTCCAAGTCATGGTATTTTCAATTGTTTCTTATGTATCTGAAAGTTGGACAATGAGTAAGGAAGACTGAAGATGAATCAATGCCTTTGAATTGTAGTTTTGGTGGAGAGTATTGAACATCTTTTGGATTTCCAAAAGAAGAAAAACACACAATCAAAACCCAATCAGTCTTGGAGGAAGTGCAACCGACGCGCTCCTTACACTTCATCGCATATACTTTGGGTATATTATCGGGAGGCAAAGGACATTTTGGTGAAAAGGTAGAGGATCAGATTATGACAATGGTGCAGGATGGGGGAGGCTTTGAGCTGTTCTTCACAGCGTTGCTGTGAATCAATATCCTGGGAGGTACCATGTTTCCTCTTTAATGAAGAAGGCTTGCTGACTCAGCGCGTGGCTAACATTTATGTGCAGAGAGTAGTCGGTCATAACTTGTTTCTGAGAGAGCTCGCTAAGCCACAAGGAATGGACACTCGAGGACACATAGTGAGAGGTGACTGAGGGCTAAGAACTTACTCTGGCAAGTTCAGGAAAGTTAGCCAGTGGAAAATGAATTCAATCCCGGAGTGTTTAAATTTGCTCAGCTGACATGTTTAGCTTAATA